TAAAACTACTCATGCCATGAGTAAACGTCAGTAAACTACTCATGCCATGAGTAAGTCTGAGTAAAACTACTCATGCCGTGAGTAAGTGTCAGTAAACTACTCATGCCATCAGTAAGTTTGAGTAAAACTACTCGTGCCATGAGTAAGTGTCAGCAAACTACTCATGCCATGAGTAAGTCTGAGTAAAACTACTCATGCCATGAGTAAGCGTCAGTAAACTACTCAAGCCATGAGTAAGCCTGAGTAAAACTACTCATGCCATGAGTAAGCGTCAGTAAACTACTCATGCCATGAGTAAGTCTGAGTAAAACTACTCATGCCATGAGTAAGCCTGAGTAAAACTACTCATGCCATGAGTAAGTCTGAGTAAAACTACTCGTGCCATGAGTAAGCGTCAGTAAACTACTCATGCCATGAGTAAGCCTGAGTAAAACTACTCATGCCATGAGTAAGCGTCAGTAAAATACTCATGCCATGAGTAAGTGTGAGTAAAACTACTCATGCTATGAGTAAGTGTGAGTAAGTTGTTTTGACATTTTGTTGACTTCACTCAACTTTTGAGTAATGGAGTTCAAATTACTCAAATGTATGAGTAATTTTACTCAAAAACAGTATTATGTTTGTGCTTGAGTAAATGATTCATCATTTTGAGTCAATTTACTCATGTTGTTGGTTAAAATGACTCAAGATAAATTTTTACTCAATATTGTGAGTATTCTTTTACTCGCATGATTGAGTAAAATTACTCGCAAATGGTGTTTACTCTTAGATGTGAGTATTTGTACTCAGTTATTTGAGTAACAGTTTCAATTTACTCAAGACGTGAGTATGGTGACTCAATTTTTGAGTCATTTTACTCAAATCGAGAAATGGATTTTTTGCAGTGTGACTTTTATTTTTGAGTTTTGGTAGTGAAAATGATGACATGTTGATGGGCGCCCTTTCATTTATAATGTCATTCATATTGCAAGCAACATTGTAAATGTCCATAAAGTTAACTGGAAATATTCCGGAAGGACTAAAAAGCGGTACAGCGTGTTCTCTAAAATTTGCAAAATTCATTAGTCGAATAGCCCGTTTCTGGAGGACAAGAAGTGGAGATGCATTATACCATAGACAGTCCATGGTTATACACACTATGGTTATACACACTTGATCACAAACTGATATGCCATAATTTAAATATGAATGGAGCAGAGCATCATAAATCCTTTGCAACGTGTGTTTAGGTGCGAAATGTCTAAGTCTAGCAATAATTCCAACAGCTCTACTAATCGTTAGTGAGATATAGTCAATTTGAACTTTCCATGTTAGATTTGAGTGTATAAACAATCCAATATATTTGACATTGGATTTTATTTGCAATGGTAAGAATGTTTTGAAATTTGAATCATAGACAATTATTTGAGAATTATCATTGTAATCAAACGAATTAACTGGCAAATTTCAAACCGAGGAATTCTAGAGGAAGGCCATCCAAGAGAGAAATAAGGAAGCCTCAAACATCGATTATGGTTTTTTAGTGAATCACGGTCAACTAGCGCACATGCAGAAAAATAATAGAGAGACGGCAGAGGTCATCCGCTACAGCAGACGAGGAACAGAAAATCCGGATAAATTTTGTTGATATTTCAATTTAAATGACTCGCAAATTATTAAAAATCGAATTAACATAATTTTCAAAAACTGGCGGTGCGTTTGTAAAACCTTTAAATATTAAATATTGTTTACATTTGCTCCATCTAGTTATATTGTCCACCGGTGTAAGTCAAACGAAAGGCAGCGTTTCTCTACGAACGCTACGACAAAAACATATAGTTCCGTGCAAGGCCTCCCTTCTTCACGCATTACGAATTTGCAAGCATATAAGTAAGGTTTCATGATCACTTATTTACCCTAACAATCCTATATAACCAAGATCATGCACATACCTTCAAACTGTATACCTGAAGGCAAAAAAACATGAAAATATAATCTCAATCTCTATATATCAAGCTAAACTGACTTTGCTATTCGCCAAAGATCCTTAATTTAACCAATCACTTGAGACCAGTTACCAGGATTAGTTACATCAAGACAACAGATAATGATACCACAAATATAATGGGATCCATTTTTGACGCATCCTGTAGTGCAAATAAAGAAATGAAATGAGATGCGTTTTACCACATACATTAACTACATTTATTTAGGAGTTTTTCCGTAAATACAATCCAATCGTAAAAGGTGAATGAAATGTCCCCATCTTCCCTTTTCTTCAATTTTTCTTCACGTAAGGTATGGAAGAGGTTGTTGTATTCGGGATCGTCCTCAAAATAAAATAAAAAATTGTCAAGTGTGCTTAGCGCTTTAGACATCGAAGTGAAATTGTGTGAAAATTGTAAGATATTTTCCACCAAATCTAGTGTTATTTCAGGATTATCAAAATCTTGGAGGAGGTTAACTTTAGTCATGAAGTACGTTGGAAGATTTTGCATTCTCAAAGCTTCCACTCACGCTTCAAGTAATGCGACAAGATGATGAACTAAAGTTTCTTCAGTCCAAGATTCTTGTAAGGTTTTCTCAAAGTGCCAAAACGCGATTGTTTTCAAATAATAACTCGATAAAATCTCCTTTAAATTTGGACCCCAGCTATTTTCGTGGTATTTCACAACTGCTTTGAAAGCTCTCATTACTTTGTGTTGCAGTGGTGAAAGTGTTTTAATCAACATTATTTCGGCGCATGAAAAAGACAATCGAAAATCGCCATCAGGCGAACTTTTTGGAACAATGTGAAATCCACCTTGAGTGATTTTCTCATCAGAATATATATCTGGCCAAAATCGTTCTCGTGTTACCCATTCTCGTGCAACGGGCGGCCATCCCTCACAAAATATAGACAACACGATATCACTGGAAGAAATCATTTTATAAAAAATAGAATGCACTAAATTTTCCTTTATCTGCTTGAATTTCATTCGTACGTCAACTTGTTTATTGAGTGGTAATAAAAAAGCTGCCTTTGCTGAATCGGTCATACAATGACCGAAAGATATGTCTGGTTTTGACTTATTGACGGTTGCTGCCGCACCTTCTGTTACTTCTTCGAGTTCTTCTTTGCAATTACGAACAATAGGAAAAAGCAAGCTGTCGTTTTTTTGATAGTTTTCTTGTAGTTTTTCTTTTAATTTTTTTGAAGATAATCGATGCTTCCCCACTTGATTATCTGTATCATCAAGAAATTCACTCCACAAATTTTGTATTTCTTTGCTTGTGATAAATGCATAAACAGAAGGTGTATCTTCTCTTAACAGCAAGCAGCCAGTGGCTTGATCTTCCTGCGAAAGCGTGATATTCTTCAAAACACACATGAAGTCCATATCTGGTAACTGTGGATAATAGAGGAAAAGACCTTCGCTCAAGCTTCCCGTCAATAACGCTTCACCAAGTTGAAACGGTGGCTCAGCATCAAAATAACTATCGAAGTGTGTTTCGGGAATAATAATTTGGGGAACTGATTTTAATTTTTCTTTAAGAGCATCCTGAATCACGTAGGGAATGTTGTCTATATTTATACCATAGAATTTCCCAATATTCTTTGTCAAATAATCAGCACCTGTCCGCAAACCTACGGCTGGAATCCACATTTTAAGCAAGTTCTATTTTAAAATCGAGTAATCGAGACACGAAGCTTGAGCCATATTCGAAACTGTAAACAAAATCAGTCAGGTACAGTGAATTAATAAGTTCTACAAATGTTTCCATTATAAAGACAAATGTCCCTAAAATAAGTTATATTTTGTGCTAATGCTAATTTACCATCGGAACCTGCACTTTTTATAGTATAACATTTTCTAATTAAATTTATTTGTGATTTTGTGTCATTATTTTATGTTTTTATTAGGTCTAAAACGATTAAATCTCCCCGTATGAGTTACTTCACTGACATTAAATTGAAGAGTCACAGTCAACCGTGATGCTTTGCGCGCTAAAATGTTTTGATTCCGCCATTTTATTAGCCACTTTAGAGACAAAAGATTGACATCCGAAACGTATCCTTATCAATCTGCATTATTCTTAGACGATGTCATATTTTTCATAGTTGGAATATGTTAAAAGATCTTTGATTGAGATTTTGGCGTGTGTTTTTATCTTAACCAATGATTTTAGTTTTCTCATTATATAAAGTGGATTGCTAATCATGGCTTCGGTACATGTATTTCCCGTTCGTGCAAAACCAACAAGTAAGGGTATATCAAAAACAATGTCGTTAACAAGTTCAACGTACGTCCTTTGGATGGAAAGGAAAGACTGCTTGGGAATACGGGACAGAAATCAGGATTTTATCAAAAAACCAGCGAGTAAATGTATTAAAATTTTTTTGTTGAAAATAAAGCTTATGTTTATCATTTTTAGTGTATCACTATTTTCAATGACAACACTATTTTAAGCTCCCGGTATACGTAAACATTCACATAAATATAACAAATAGATTACATTTTCCCGTTGTCTGTTCAGTTATAGATACACAGTATGACGTCATAAGTGGTAAGAACAAACAAAAAACAAAACTAAAACATGAACTAAATATCTATTTAGTTCATGTTTCCCCGGTGAAAATATAGTCTATTGCAAAGCTGATTTCGACGTACTTTAGCTTTTCAGAAACCGTTGGCCTTCCTCAGTGAGATTTTCAACTGTTTCACAAACATATTTGATAGTAAACAGTTAAAATATTCTCCGAAAATGTATGTTTTTGCTCTTCGACGCGAAAATGGCAGCTCAAGAAGAAATGAGCCGCTATTTTTGGTCAGCGTCGACAAATTGCCCACCTGTTGGCACCGTCGAAATTTTGCAAAATTTTTCATGATCTATACAAATAACGAAGCACTATTGGCTCGCCTAAGTCACGTGCTGAATTTCGATTGACTAAGCTTAGAATGCGCTAGACGGTAATAAATAAAGAAAAACTAAAAATTTATCAAAACAGTGAAAAACATTGTTTTAAAGGAATAAAAACATGTGATGAAAGGCAATTATTTTGTTCTGTGCGACTATGGCAATTGACAAGCACTTAAACATTACCTATTTTGCACTAAGTGAAGAAACCAACTGGAAAACGTGACGTCGACAGAGTCAAATGACCGAAACAATATATATTTGTTTTCGAAGACTAGCCCGCGTGCAGGCCCAAGGGAAGAATAGTGGACCTGCAAGCAAGACCCGGTATTTTGTAAAACGCCCCTTTTCATAACACGCCCAATTCGCACGTCAATTGTCAAAAAAGAACCAATGACAGCAACCCAAATATTAACAGACAAACTAGCATTAAAATGTTGCAGGGTTTTCTCTGCTGCTTTAATATTCAAAATAGAAACAATGTGTAAATGGCTGTGTTTTAACTCCAAAAAAAGCAAGCAACGCAGTCAGTAATTGCCAAATTTGCAAGTGCTCATTTTCAACTAAAATCCGAACAGGCAAATTAGGACGAATTTCAACAGAAAACCAGTCTCAAACTTAAAATCGTGAGGCAAGTCGCTTCGCTGTCGCCGTTGTTATAAATAAATTGTCTCACTTATCAGATCGTGTGTGCAATTCTTGTTGTCGGCGGAAAGTACGAAATTTATTTCATTTGGTAAAGAACTCTACAAAAGAAGAGAGGGTTCAGAGTACAGATTGTTTCGTTTCAAACGGCAATTACGGTTTTGTTCTGTTTCGCTCTCTCAGCGAAGCCTTGCAAATCGCAAAGTGTTTGCTGTTTTCTCCAGTGCAAGAACAGAGTCAATATCAACCAAAAGATAATTTTCTTGAGAAACATATGACATATCAAGTCTGTTTGGAATTAATGAAACTCAAGTAAAGTTTAATACTATAGTTTACCCCGGCAGTCGTATTAAATGTTGCTACCCCAACACTTCACGACAAGCAATCCCCATTGGCATAGCGGAAAAACATCTCTTTCTTCAAGCAAACAATAAACAGTCTGTTCTTGTTCCATTTTTAATCGAAAAAGTGATCAATCTTCGAATTTTAAGCTTATCGAGAGCCTTTGTGATAAATCAGTGATCTAATTATAGAATCCAACAGCAAACAGCCAATCAGAATGCCGCGTTCGTGGGCAAACGCGGAAAGTACAAAATACCGGGCCTTGCTTGCAGGCTCACTATTCTTCCCTTGGGCCTGCACGCGGGCTATTCGAAGACCGGATTGGATTTTGAAGTCACATCTGAATGACTGAATTAAGATTTCCCGAGTTGCTATAGCTTAATTTTATGAGCGATTTTTGCCCGTTTATCGAAGGTATTTATTGAGGTCTATAGATTTAATTGCATGAATTCATTCTATTTGTATAAATTCAGTGGAATTTTCAAATATTTTCGACATTTTAATAACTTATGACGTAATTCCGTGCGTCTGTCCTCTAATAGATCATGGCTCTCGACCAATGAAATCGCATAAATTCTTGAGGTTATTATACAAACATAGATAGATACTTTATTAAAAGCAAAACTACATACCAGCCAGCCGGCTGATTTGCGTAATCTGAATTATTTTAGATGTGTTGGAAACATAGATATCCTATATACACTAGATAGTGCATCTAATTATTCTGCAATTCAAAAATTGAAGCCGTGATTGCAGTCTCAGGTCGTTCCCATGAAATGAGAAGATTCGTATGTTTTCTATTTCTTAAACCGGGAACTTAAACATTAAGTTAACCCTATTCCAAATATGTTTTTAAACTATTCAAATAATAAAAGTTATTGTTGTTTTTAAAGCATTTGTTAGCAAGTGGGGACAACCAACATGGCCGCCATCTATTCAAATGGGGGTAACGGCTGGAATATTCTTGGCTTCAATTTTACTAAACGATATGCGCTATCTAGTGTATTAGGCCGTCGTCTAGTGCCTCAAAATGTTTAGTTTCGTTGCACACCTCTTTAAACTAAAAGAAAATTACATATTCTTATAGAATAAGTGACGCTGAATCCAAATCCATAAGCGTACCGGGCGGGGGGGGCGGCCGCCCCCCCAGTTTTTTGGGCAGTCGGGCAATATTCGATTAACAGTCGGGCAATTTTGGGTTGTTATAAAAAAAAATCGGACAAATTCTGTAATTTTTTTCAAAAATTGAGTCAATTTTGTGGCAAATGTAGTTTTTTGGAGAATTTATGTGATACTCCGAAAAATTTGGTAGGTCCGGAAAATTTTTTTGACCCCTAAAATGGTACACTGACCGAAATTATTTTGGCGACGGGGGGGGGGGGGG